CGCGGCCCGTACGGGCTGCGCCAGGCCCGCGCGCGGCCCGGGCAGCCCGCGCGCGCCTCGTCCCGCCTGCGGCAGACCCGTGCGCGCGCCTCGTCCGTCCCCCAAGCTTCTGTCGGCGCCCCACCCCCGCTACTGCCCGCGTTCCTGTGTTAGGGTTTGGGGGTGGCAGGTGTGGGGGTGCCGGTTGTGTGCCCCGTCCCCTCCTTCTCCTCCTCCTCCGTCTCCCACTGCTGCAGCTGCTGCTCAGGGGGGTGGGTGTGTGGGAGCCGAGGGTTTAGGGTTTAAGGGGGGTGCCATGGGAGTGGAGCTAGGGTTTCAGCAGGGGGTGTGTGTCGAGGGGTGTGGGACTGTTGGGGGAGGTTGAGGGGAGGTTGCCGTCGTGTCGTACGCAGCGCCTGTACTCCGGGGCACTCACTCCCGGTAGCTCAGAGAGCCGGTTGCGCCGTCGCCTGTGGGTCCGTTGCTCCTGCTGCTCGTCTTAGCCGCGGAGCCTGTTACTCCTGTACTCCGGGGCACTCACTCCCGGTAGCCACTGTGTCGCACCAGAGCCGTCTGTTGCCCGTGTGCCTGCAGCTTCAGTCGTCGCCTCCCATCTACTCTCCTCTCGCCAGCCCTCCTCCTCCTCACTTGCCCGTTGTGACTACCACTAGCTTTGCTCATAATTGTGAACTTTAAACTATTGCTTCTTAAACTTGTGCTCAGAATGTGTGGTGACATTGTGATCCACCCTGAGCTTGTACTGCTTTGCTTGCTCTGCTGATTACACCCCACTTTGGCTATGGGGGTGTGTCAGAATATTATGCTCTAGCCTGTAGTGGGGTGCTCTGTAGCGAGTACAACCCTTCTAGGGTTTGCTATTTGTATCCCCATTCTTGCTAGTGCAACCCCTCTTTCGCCTAAACTCTCTTGCCTAGCTAGGACTCTCCTAGCTATGGCTCCTAAGACTACCGCTTATCTTGACAGCTTGTACTGCTTTGCTTGCTCTGCTGATTACACCCCACTTTGGCTATGGGGGTGTGTCAGAATATTATGCTATAGCCTGTAGTGGGGTGCTCTATAGCGAGTACAACCCTTCTAGGGTTTGCTATTTGTATCCCCATTCTTGCTAGTGCAACCTCTCCTTTGCTCATTTCTCTCTTGCCTAGCTAGGGTTTACCTAGCTATGGCTCCTACTTGTGCCTACTATTTTGACATTATCATGTCCATTACAATTCCTCGGTTACACCAACATAGTATGAGAGGTCGAATGGATTATAACGTCTATCAAATCTTTGTTATTTTTAAAACAACTCTTTATTTTAATATACATTGCATAGAGTGCATCGTTTCTCCTAAAGGCAAGACTATATCAGACTCTCTAAGCCCATCACTAACATCAAATGTATCATTAAGGTAACATCCACCAACAGGAATGTCGTTGAGTAGCCCATTGCACATATCAGCGCCCTTGAATGACAGCAGGCAATGAGCATCGATGGCTCAAGTAACGCCGGAAGGGCCGTGGGTCGTGGGGCGAAGATCGACGGCTGAAAGGTCCTTCATCTTTACCAACTGTCAAGCGTCACCACATTCATAAGATAATCAACGTGCAAATTCAGAGGCGTTACCATCTCTACAACAGAAGTTCTTCACGTCATCAAAGCTGAAGATATCAACAATGTTTAAAGGCAACGACTTCTACACGTGGAGCTCCGAGTTCGAGCTCCTCGCGACAACTTTGCAGATTTGGATATACTACGACGAAACTCTTATTTTTTCGTAGGAGTGCATCCTTCAAGAAAAATCCCTCTTCTACAACGACTCTCTTCGCGCGTATACCATGCTCATCGCAACATCTCTTATACACAAGTTTCTTATGAATTCATGCGCAATATGTACACGGCAACACTTCCGGTTACAATGAGTCGTTTCCTCAGCCAATTTGCATCAGTCAATATGATTTCCGTAATAAAACACCCTCGGAAAAAACACCCCCCCGTAATTGAACACCCCCCCATAGCTTGTGCGGGGTGGGTGTTATAGTCGACCTAGTTTGTACTATACCCCCCCTTTTGGGGTGATTCTCTATAACACCTCCCGTTTCTTATAGATTCCTATTATAGCTGTTATCAATTCCGATTCCTTACGGGATGATATGGCGAAAATCGCTCCCTAGATGAAACTTCGCATGTACTTTCACTTAGAATCTGCTGAGATTTCCCCCCTCCCACAATCTCGCTATCGCCACGCTGGCAAATCTTCCGTTGCAAGTGGCCCAAGAGGTGAAAATCACATCCTCACATGATGCACAGTCAAACCAGTCAAGAAGTGACTGGTACAGTGACAACGCACCACCGTGCGTGATTCTGGCCTCGACGGTTGCATGAACCCTCGCTACGCAAGGTCGAATTGTTTTCACCCTATCAGGTGCCAGAGTTGCCCATTGGAATTTGCCAAGTGGCAGATTCCAGTGGGCGGTTACGATATCCTCGTATACTCGGTTTTGCATAACTGATCAACAATCTTGAAGCGAAGTCAGACCCCTGATTTTGTTTCACATCTTTTCTGCTTGATAAAAAATATACCATTTAATAAGACCCAGGTACAGGGCTGATTTTATCAGACTAAAATAGTCTGATTGTCTGAAATTTCAGGGTATTTTCTTACGAATCCTGATTTTTCAGAGTTGTAAGATTTTCAAACATGAGTGCTTCAGACTTCCTTGTTTTTGGATACTGAGAATTTCAGAGTAGTGATTTAGCCGATAATGGGTCTTCATATTACAGAAAGTACAGATCCTGAAATGCGGACCTATACTTTCTGCGTACCTTCTGCAGGGTACGAAGAACTTCACCGCGCTATCACACGCAAAATCTGTACTTGGCACTTTTGCCACCCTTTTCCCTTGGAATCACCACTTGGCTCAGTGTTTCCACTCATGTGGGACCATCGCTGTAGCTATGCGGTGTCAGCGAGGGAAACGCCGTGCTTGATTTCACCATGTGAAGTTTGAGTACTTCAGACTTGTGTTTTTGCGGAACCTGAAAAATCTAAGTAGCCATTCTCTGGGAAATATGCCTTAGACCAAAATTTTCCAGACCCCCCAGAACGTCAGACTGGATTTTTTTGTATAGTCAGCCCTGCCCAGGTATTATGTAGGATTTTCCTTTGAGGAGACCCACTTCATTTTTTCCCAGTGGTTTTCATAATACCCTAGGGTGTTTTATCCGGGAGAATACGGTAAAGGGGAGAAAGAGGGACCATATATAAATTACTATCGAAATATGCACGACCGGTTTAAGAAGTGTGGCCGCAACGTTCTAACGACATGATTGTTACACAAGTCACTTTTGGACTAGGACCCAAGTGACGCCAATGCAAGTCGTTGCTTCACTCTTAAGGAGTTGTTTTCGAAGGCGCCCTCTATGTTATGCTCCTTGCTGAGCAGCAAGAGATTGACCTGTAACTAAGGGAGGCGGCAAAAGAGACAAATTGGTGTTTTACGCTGGCTCATTTGAACAATCGGGAAAAGAAAGCCTATGTATGTAAATTCTGCAATGCTGGGGCACACAATGGATTGCTCCCACAATCGCAAAGGCGCCAAAGAAAGGCTACTGAGAGCTCACTTGGCTACGGCATCACCTTTCATCCCGCTCTTGAGCACCAGCAGCAACAGTCACGCCTCCAAGCATAACAACAATATCGCCTCCTGCCGTCGCCAGCGCTCCGAGCACTCCTCCTCTGCACATCTCTGCCATGGACAAGCGGAAGAACATAACTTTAATTTGCAAGACTCGTCGCTGAAAATTTCGCTACGGTGACATTCACTTCCCAGCCATTGGCCCAGTAAAAAACATCGAGCCAAGCCCAAACAAGGACTCCACCGTCGGACTCTAGATCAACATGCCAACGACGCTCCCACCTGGCTACAAGCTACATCCGAGCACTCGAGAGTGTCCTTCCGAGTTTGCCGCCACTCACGAGAACGATCTCTTGCACTACTATGTCGTCCTCGACAGCTTCAACCAGTGGTACTTGCCACCATAGGTTCAGGCTATGTAGGGTGTTACGGGTACAATGGAACGAGGTAGCAAATATTGTCAGAGGTCTACTGGTGATCCCCGATTGATCCTAGGGAAGGGTTACAGGCATGGCGGCCTGGGGGGTTATGGGCGCACTCACCCGCTACACAAACAAGCCCTTTTATCCCAATGGTTAGTGGTTGGGATTCTGACATGGTATCAGAGCGAAGGTCTCGGGTTCGAATCCCGGTGTATGCACCTCGGGCATCCCAGTGCGGGGGGGTGTCAGAGGTCCACTGGTGATCCCCGATTGATCCTAGGGAAGGGTTACAGGCATGGTGGTCTGGGGGGTTATGGGCGCACTCACCCGCTACACAAACAAGCCCTTTTATCCCAATGGTTAGTGGTTGGGATTCTGACAAATATCGCACTAAGGTGTCAAACGAGTAAAAAGTATGAACGAAGGCATGAGAGAATACGTTTATGAAAACATGCAAACGCTTACGCGGTGCGTGTGAGCTAGCTAGTGCGATGCTGGCATCGAGGTTCGGGCTAGTCCCGAAGCATAGGCGGACTCGGCCAGGCCGGCGATTCATGGTTTGGCAAATGCAGCACGTGAAGGTTGGCAAAACCGGGTTATCAGTAACCGGCGAACAACGGCTGCTCTTGTATGTGGTGTTGAAGCACACGGTAAGGAATGTAAAAAATTTCCTTACATATTGCCCTAAAAGCAACTCTGATAAGCATTTTTTATATTGAGGACATTTCGATTTTAATACGTTTTACCGATCCATGCCTTACCGAGTTCGTTTAAGGCCAAGGCCACTAGTTGACACGCTTCACGAACGCCCTGGAACGGAAGTCGGTCGACCTCCACTCCACTCTTTCGCTTCTCAAATTTCGCCCGTTACCCTGCATTCGTCGAGGAGCAGCCAGCAGCGAAGCTGGTCATCAGCGAAGCAGGAGAGCAGCGAGGCGGCGGCGAGGAGTCGCTGTGCGATGGAGCCGGGCGAGCTACCGGCGGATCTGACCGTCGCACACGCGGACCGCGTCGACGTGGTTGTCGACGACGCGCCGAGTCGCGCACCCGCTGACGTGGCGGCGAGGGAGTGCGAGTGGAGCGGCGAGGGCGGGCGGCGCGCGTGCGGCGACAGGGCGAGCGGCGATCGCGCGTTCCAGTGGCTGCTAGCGCCCGTGTCGCCCGCACGGTTCTACGAGCAGTGGTGGGAGCGGCGCGTGGGCCTCGTGCTTCGCCCGCTCAGTAGGTGCGGCGCTGGGGGAGGGTTTTACAGCGGGAGTTGGGGGGGTGAGGGTTTTATGTTCTGGGTGTATCTGTGGGAGGGGTTCAAGGAGAGGGAGCTGTGGGGGTTCTGAAAGAGGGGGAGGGGGGGAGATTTGGACGGACAGTCTTTCTGTCAATTTCATGTTTCGCCTCTTCCCTACTCCCGAACCCATCTTCCCCCTCTCTCTTTTCCCTCTCTCGTCTCCGCTCCTCACTCCCCATGAACCTCTTCAACCGCTTGCTGCCCACTCTCTTCACCGCACCCCCTTACTCCTCACCCAAATCCCCCCCTTCCCCCTCTCCCCCTCCCCTCTCCCCCCGCCTCCCCCCGTGCTGCCCCGAGTTCCCTTTTCCTCCCCTTTTGCCCTCTCTCATTTTTGTCGTCTGCACCTTTTTCCACCCCCTTCCTCCCCTCCCCACCTGCCTTATCCCCTTTGTCCCCTCCTCTTTCTGTTTCGTCCACTTACTTTCATCTCACCCCTCCCTATCCCCTCCCCCTTCACCCCTCTCCCCCTCCTTCCCCCCCATAGGGAGTACTACGCGGGGTGGTTTGGGCGTGCTGACGTGGACAAGCTCTTGAGGGCGGGCGTGCTGCGCTATGGCACCAACATCGATGTCGTGCGGTACAGTGCGGTGCACGGCGGTGCACGCGAGACGCTTAATGGGGAGGGCGTGGCAGGTTTGTTGTGGCAGGGGCGGGCTGGGATGTGTGGTGGGGAGAGGGGGGTGGAGGCGAGGGAGATATGGGGAGGGGAGGGGGAAGTATGGGGGAGAAAAAGGCGGTTGGGATGGCAATGGCTGCAACGGGAACACGTGAAATGTGTGTGTTGATGTGGTAGATGGAGTGGTGGTGAGCGGTGCCTTGGGGTTGAATTGCGTCCGAGCTGAATGGTCTGTATACGCCACGCGCTGTGCCGTGCAGTGGTGCTGCTCTGCGCACTGTATGTGATTCTCCTACGGCCGTTCTTGTCTTCCACTTACTGCCACATGCCCTCATGCACATACATACACCCTCCCCCCCCTCCCCCCCCCACTCTTCCCTCTCCTATCCCCTCTCTGCCCTCTTGCCCCACCCCGCCACCACCATACACCATCAGCTGTGCTTCTCCTTGCCTTCACACCCTTTCTCTTCTCCCCGCCCCCCTCCCTTCCCCTGTGTGAGCACGAGCAGATGCGGAGAGGGTGTGGGCGTTGTTTGAGAGCGGGTGCTCTCTGCGAGTGCTGCACCCGCAGCGCTGGAGTGACCACCTCTGGCTGCTGCTGGGCGCGCTGGAGCACCACTGGCAGGGCAACGTCGGTGCGTGGGGGGGAGGGGAGCCATGGGGGAAATGCATGCATGGGAATTTGGAACATCTGACGGAGGGACGGTTGCATGTTGGGTGGATGGGTGGATTTTTCAGTGAACAGGATGGGACACGAACGAGAGAGGGAAGGGTTGGTCGGTGGGCAGGCTTGTTTGATTGTGCGTGCGTTGCAGCTACACACGTGCCCATGTGTGCAGCCCAGCATGTCGCAGCCCTTCAAGTCGCAGCACGCACACCCGAGCGCCCACTGCCATGAATGGCAACTCTTGCTACTCGCACCTCACCCGCTTCCTCGCACTCACCTCTCTGCAACCAACCACTGCCCCGGTTACCCACTCCCATCCCGTCTCTCACCACCCTCACGCGTGCCTTTCCGTTCTCTCATGCACATGTGTGCGTCCATCCCCATGCACCCCCATGCACATATCCACGGCCGTTCGGGCATGCATGCACGTGCGTGTGAGCAGGGTGCAACGTGTACGTGACCCCCCCGGCATCGCAGGGCTTCAGTCCGCACTACGACGACATCGACGCCTTTGTGCTGCAGGTCGAGGGCTGCAAGCGCTGGCGCTGCTACCAGGGAGTTAAACGCCACCCGGGGGATGACGACGACAGCGCAGGGGGAGAGGACGGGGAGGGAGAGGGGGAGGCAGCAGGGGAGGAGGGGTTGCTGCCGCGGTTTTCGAGTGGGGATTTCGTGCAGCAGGAGCTGGTAGAGCCGCCCATTCTGGACGTGGTGCTGCGCCCCGGCGACCTCCTGTCAGCGCCCTGCCGCCTCTCCGCCCCTTGTTTCCGCTCCACGCTCCTACTTGCCATTCTCCCATCCCCCCCTACTCGCCTGGCAGCCGTGCAGCATCACCTACTGTCTCTCCACCTTCCCACCTGCCCCTCCTCTCCCCGCCGCCCCCCATTGGTCCGATTAACACACACGCCCGTGTGTCTCTCTCGGTGCGTGTGTGCGGGGGGGGGGAGCAGGTACATGCCGAGGGGCGTCATACACCAGGCAGAGGCAGTGGACGACCAGCACTCGCTGCACCTCACCATCTCCGCCTGTCCGTGCCCCTCCACTCCACTCCACTCCACTCCACTCCACTCCACTCCACTCCACTCCACTCCACTCCACTCCACTCCACTCCACTCCACCCCACTCCCCTGCTGCCCTGCTCGCTTCACTTCCACGCCCTCACACCTCCTTCAGCTTGTGCCTGTTCTCTCACCTTTTCCATAGTTGTGTTGCTGTCGTTCGATGTCTCTCTGTGCTCGCGTCGCGTCCCGTCTCCATGAGCCCTTCCACTTGCCACATGCTCTATTCCTCACACCCTTCCATTGTCTTCCCTCTTCCCCCGTGCCTGCCACGGTCCGCCCCTATAACCCATGGCTTCTGCCACCCCTGTGTGTGCTCTGTGGCACCGCTCTCTCCCCCCCTCAGCACAGCGCAACACAATGGCTGACTTCCTGCACCTTGCGCTGCCACGGGCCATAGAGGTGAGATCGCCAAGGGGGAAGGAGTTGCTTCTCTCTCAGAGCGCCCTCTGGTCAAGTAGCCTCTGCTCTGCACCCCCTTGTTGGGGTTGCACCCCTGGCCCAGCCTGCCCCAAAAGCATGAGCTGCCCAATCCACATTACGAATCATGCCTGCCATTCCTTCTCCCCCTTGCGCAATCCATCGTGCATGCGCACTCACCCTGGCCACCTTCTCAACCCCTTGCGCCACGCACGGCAGGTAGCAGCGGAGGAGCACGTGGTGCTGCGCCACAGCCTGCCGCGCGACCTCTTTGACTTCATGGGCGTCATGCACGCGCCGCCACTCCCCGACACCCACCCGCACCCCCTCACCAACGCTGACAGCGGCACCAGCCTCAAGGCAGCACCTGCAGCGGCGTCAGAGGCGGGTGGGGATCCGCGGCGCGCGGCGTTCCTGCAGCGCGTGCAGCAGGCGGTGCAGCTGGTGGCTGCATGCGGGCCCTGGGACTCTGCCGCTGACCAGATGGCCTCCGCCTTCCTCCGCTCTCGCCTCCCCCCCTTCCGTGCCTCCCAGCTCTCTGCCTCTGCGCCCTCTGCTGCTCAGTCGGCCATGGAGGGAGGGGGTGGGGGAGGCGGGAAGGGGGGTGGTGGAGCAGCGGGCAAAAGGCGAGGGGGGAAGGTGCAGAGGAAGTCGCGTGTGAGGGTGAGTGTGGAGGGGGGGTGTCGGTTGGTGGTGGAGGATGGGGTAGCGGTGGTATACCACATGATGGACAACCGGCGAGAGGTGCACAACCAGGGGGAGGATTCAGGCGTGGAGCAAGGGGAGGAGCAAGGAGAGGTGGAAGAGGAGAAGGATGACGGCGAGGAGACGAGAATGTCACGAGGGGCGGAAGAGGGAGCTACCACGACAGACCAAGGGCAAGTCAATCCGGGGGGTTCGGCAATGTGCGTAGAAGACAAGGAGGAAGGGGAGGAGGAGGATGAGGATGAAGACGAGGAAGAAGGTTTGAGAGGGGAGGGGCGGTTGGAGTTTGAGTTGCAGTGGGCAGAGCTGCTGGAAGAGCTGGTGCAGCTGAATGACAGCACTGTGCTGGGCCCACTGCTCAAACGCCTCGCTGCTGACTGGGAGGGGCCTGCGGCTGCTGCCACGGCTGCCATGCTGAGTGTTGTGCAGGAGCTCGTGGACCATGGGGTGCTTGAAATAGTGGGCTAGGAAGGACGCTCGCTCGGCTGCTTGCTGCAGTCGTATCAAGGCTTGGTTAAAGCAAAATGTTTAGTACAGTTGGCTTGGCTTCATACTAGTTTTGTTCATTGGTGTATTACACGTGTATTTGTGTTGAGTTGGAAAGGGATTAGGCCTGGGTTAATGTGCTCAGGACGGTAGGGGGAGAGTTTGGAAATCAAGAGCAAGCTGCTCCCATTGTGGAGCAAGACATGTTGGTGGCAAAAAGCCGCAGCTGATAATGTGCTACTGGAACTGCGTAGCTCTCTGCGATACTGCACTAGGGGCTATGATTAGTGTGAGAAATGTTAGGGGGCAAAGTAGCTTCCGTGCTTGAGCCTTGAGTGCTGAAGTTGGATGGGTGTTAGGAAATTTTTTATACAAACACTTACACAGTCCTGTACACACCCACGTACTCTGTAACACACCCACGTACTCTGTAACGCGGTTTTACCTGACAACCTGGCCGGGAAATGTGGTGAAACAGGTGGCGCAGGTGGCGCAGCGCCTTCCTCTCTTCTGCCTGACAGCGTTTGAATTGTGTCGCAGGCAGTCAGCCAGGCCAGGTCGGTGTGCCGGGGGCGTCGGTGACTCAGTCGAGATACAATCCGCGAAACTCGGTAACCTTGAGCGAACTTTTGTTGGAGTGTCGTCAACGCTTGGTCTCTCATTCAGAGTTCCTGCCTGCCATCAATCACATTTCTTCGATTAGGGGGCTGGCGGATCTGGTAGGACCCGTTTATGAGGTCAAACTGCTGCTGTCCTGCAAGCAGAAAAGGTTCAAATTTCTGTCATGACACCTGCGTTACCTTACTGAACCGCTGTCAAATCTCTTCTTGAAATGTCACCATTTGATAAACGGGTGTGTATCGAACAAAATAATCCCTCATCATTCAAATGAACACGCCTCAGAATCCGCCCGTCTCAAAGGAAGAATTGCAGAGACCAGAAAGGCATAGTGAAAGGTGCGGAAGTTGCAGAACCCACAGATTACCAGATTACCATGCAGTACCACAATGCCTGCTTCTCAAGCACTGGCACGTTGAGGCTCTCAGGCGAGCAGGCGAGAGCGTCTCTGTGTCACAACAAGCGTTCCGACGGCCTCTTGTTGACTGCCCTACGATTTGAAAACGAATAGGTCTCGCAACCCGTATCGGACTAAGAAATTAGGTTACTTCACTTAGGTTTTGCGGCCGACGTCACCGCGTGCTTGTGATGGCTCCTCCTCTAGAGTTTCGACGCACCATCCTGGTGCTGCCGTGTCTCCTCCTCGCCCTATCACTCTGCGCCACCGCGCCTCTCGCTACCACGTCCCAAGTAAGTGCCTCGCCGTCGCTCCCACCTGTCCCCCCCTGTCAGGCACTCCGCTGCATTCCACCGCACTCCGCCTCACTCCCCGCCTTCGCCACGCGTGAATTGCGGCCTCGAACCGAGTACCCGCGCCTCGAGTGGACGGAATAGTCTCCGTGCTAGTGAGCGAAACGGTATCGACGTGAGGCAGGATGCTGGATACCGTGCTTTCCCAACTCCTCGAATGGCGACGCGGTTTACGTTCGGATGCCCCGGCGAGAGGACACTTCGGCTTCAAGAGGCGATTCGTTGCCGCTTGCATATTTCGACCCGCTCTTGCCTCGCTCTCCGCTGCCGCGTTCAAGGCTGCCGCGTGCGTTCCCTCGTCGCCGCGCCCTGCGAGCCGCGTCTTGACCAGTCACCGCCTCCTCTTCCATCTTTTCCGCATTATTTCAGCAGCAGTCGTAGTAATCACCAAGGGTAGACTGCCGCACGCCCGCTGCTGGCAGTCCGCGAATCTCGGTCGCCAATAGTCGACCCCACAAGCCTAAACTCTCTCGCCCTTTCCGCCTCCACCCTTTAGGTCTTCTGCCGCAGATTCCTCCTTCCTCGAAGCCTCGCAGATCTCCTTCCCCGCACCACGTGCACCCAGCATCTAATTCCTCCGCGTCGTCTGTCCATTGCGCGCTCTCTCTGACGCTCATCTTCGTGCAACAACCCACTTTCCGCATGCCCATCTCTCTTATTTTCCCCTCCCCCCCTACTCCCCCCCTGTCGTCCCCTCACCCCTCTCCCCCGCATTTTCCTGCGCAGTCCACCCGATCCCGTGCGCCCTCGCCCGTCGCCACGTGGCGCGCAGTGCGCGAGGTGCTTCCGCCGGCCGGGGGGCGCTGGCAAGCGCCGTGGATGGGGGGAGGCGGAGGCGGCAGCGCAGCGGTGCACGGGCTGGGTCACCGCGCGCTGAGAGAGGGTATAGAGCGGCAGGTGCGATGCGGGGAACGGGCATGACGGGGGGGTTGAATGCGCGGGGGGAAGCCCCAAGGTGTGGCGTTGTTGGGGAAAGAGATGGTTGGGGGAGGGGGAATTGAGGGGGGGAAGAGAGGTTAGGTTAAGCAGAGAAGGTGAGAGGTCGGCGGAGCGGAGGGGGTTAGCGGGGGGTATGCGAATGAATCTGTGGCCGCCACAGAGTTGCCTTCCTTGCCCCAATGGGGTTTTCATTGGTTGCCCCCTCCGCCGCCCTCTCCGCCGCCGTCGCAACCATGCCTCTGCTCCGCTCCTATCATCCACTTATCCTCCCCCTTCCCCCAGACGTCTCCCTTCAACTCCACTTTCGTCCCGCTTCCTCTTCCCCCGGCCCCCCCCCGCCCCTCCCCTTCCGCTCCTCCCCGTCCCCCTTCTCCCCATCAGTCCGCTCTCTACCACGCCGACGCGTCGCACAGGGCACGCCGCCGCCTGCTCGCGGCGCACGCGCCCGCCGCCGCCGCCGTTGCGTCCGCCGTTCCGGGCGGTGGTAGTCCCGCGCGCCGCAGGCTAGGCGGAGGCGGAAGCAGCAGCAAGGGGGCGGAAAAGGCGGAGAAGAGCGGCAGCGCGAAGGACGTGGGGAAGTCGGCGCGCGACCCCAGCAGCAGCAACGGCGGGGGGGCGGGCGCAAAGGGCGCGGGGAGCTCGGCGCTGCTGGTGCCGGCGGGCGCGGGGAACGGGACGTCCATTGTGCCGTACGGCATGTGGGGCCTCGCGCTGCCCACCGGGTGAGCCGCGCGCGCCGTGGGGGGGGAGGGGGGCGCATGGGGGGGCACAGTGGGGGCATGGGGAGAGAAGTGAGCTGCGGGGAAGAAGGACGGGAAGGGCTGCAGGGATGCGGAATGCAAAGGGATTGCGGCAGGAAAAAGTGGGAAGGGGTTGTGGTGAAGCACGATTCGCTCTAGCGCTTGCTGTTCCATTCATTGCCACAGCACGCACCCCCATCATCGCCACCCGCCTCTTGCCCCGCTCCCCCCACGCTCCCTCTCCCCCGTTTCCCCACCGCAAATACACCCTCCTCTCCCCTTTCCCCTCGTGCACTCTCCCCGCCCACATTCAACCCCCCCTCTTCCCCCCCATGCGCTCTCCTCCCCCTCCTCCCACGTGCACCCTCTCCCCCGCCCCCCCCGCGCATTCTCTCCCCGTGCGCTCTCCGTCCCCCCCAGGTCGTACTACCTGAACGTGACGGTGGGCACGCCGGGGCAGGAGGTGGCGGTGGTGATGGACACGGGCAGCAGCCTCATGTGGCTGCCCTGCGACTGCATCGACTGCGCCGCTGATGACTCCCTCGCTGTACGCCCTGCCATGCGCTCATGGGGGGAGGCTTGTGTCGTGGGGGAAGGGGAGGTGTCGTGGGGGGGAGAGGGTGAGGAGGGAGGCGGGCGAACTAAGGGGGTTTGGTGGGAGTGGGCGGGATGTGCGGGTATGGAGGAATGGGGCACGGGCAGCAGTCGTATATGGATGCGCTGCGATGTGCTCTGTCACGTGCTTTTGCCGTGTGCCTGCCGACTCTGCACCCTGCAGCACTCACCCCTCACCCCACACCCCCATCTTGCTCCACCCTTTCCTCTCGTTGCCCTGCCCCCAATGCTCTGCCCTCTCCCCTCCCTCGTTAAAGTCCGCCTGTTTCTCTACCAAGTGCTCCTGCCATGCCGCACCGTGCTATGCACCCTTGCCTCACTCTCACTCCCTCACCACCGTTCACCCTCATTTCCTCTCACCCCACCTGCATCCCCCCAACTCTGCGCCCCGCCCTCCCTGTGTCCCAGGCGGCACATACGATTTCGCCAAGTCACCCGGGCCGGCGGTGGTGCCATGCAACAGCCCCCTCCGCCTCGTCCACTACACCTTCACCACCGCTCACCCCTCTCTCCCGCTCCCGTCCCCTCTTCCTCCTGTGCTGCCCCTCCCCCCGTGCGTCCCCCTCCCCGTGTGCGTCCCCCCATGCGTGCGTGCCTCCCCAGGCGGCAGCGTACGATTCGTCCAAGTCCCCCAACTCGTCCGTGGTGCCGTGCAGCAGCCCGCTCTGCCTCGCCGACTACACCTTCGGCTGCAACCGCTTCAACGCCCCCGCCCCGCCCCCCGCCGCCTCCCCCGGCCTGCTGGGGGGGCTCCTGGGCGGGGGCGCGGCGGAGGGGAGTGCGGGGGAGGGCGGGGCGGAGGGCGCGGATGGGGAGTGCGAGTTTGTGTACTCGTACGCGGACAACAGCAGCACGAGCGGGCGCGTGATGATAGACACTCTCGACCTGCCCACTGTGGCCGATGGCATGGTCAAGGACAAGATGCTCTTCGGGTCCGCTACCCTCGCCTGCCCTGCCCTGCCCTGCCCTGCCCTGCCCTGCCCTGCCCTGCCCTGCCCTGCCCTGCCCTGCCCTGCCCTGCCCTGCCCTGCCCTGCCCTGCCCTGCCCTGCCCTGCCCTGCCCTGCCCTGCCCTGCCCTGCCCTGCCCTGCCCTGCCCTGCCCTGCCCTGCCCTGCCCTGCCCTGCCCTGCCCTGCCCTGCCCTGCCCTGCCCTGCCCTGCCCTGCCCTGCCGTGTTGCTTGCTGCTGCCTCTCCTCCTGCCCGTGCTACTCCTCGTCATGCTTTCCACTCCAGGCCCCTCTCGTCCCCTCCTCCATTCCACTTCCCCCCACTCCCCACAACCCCTCTCCCTTTCCAACCCCACCCCTCCTTCTCAAACCCTCCCAGCCTCACCTCCCTCCCCACCTCTTCCTCTTTTCCCCCCCTCCTCTCCCCTTCCCCCTCCCACCCCCATACCCCCACCCCTCCCTCCCAGGTGCGGGCAGTACCAGGCGGGGAACCTAGCGAAGTCGAGCTACATATACGGGCTGATGGGCATGGGCGTGGGGCCCATCTCGCCGCTGACGCAGCTGTACACGGCGGGGCACGTGCCGTTCGCCTTCGCCTTCTGCTTCGACTCCGCCAACGACACCGGCTCGCACCTCGTGCTCGGCCGCTCGCCCGGGCCCCCTGCGCTGCGCTCCACCACGCTCCTGCCCTCCCAGCGGTGCGTTGGGCACGGTGGCGGGTGGCGGGTGAAGGGTGAAGGGTGGAGGGTGGAGGGTGAAGGGTGGAGGGTGAAGGGTGGAGGGTGAAGGGTGGAGGGTGGAGGGTGGAGGGTGGAGGGTGGAGGGTGGAGGGTGGAGGGTGGAGGGTGGAGGGTGGAGGGTGGAGGGTGGAGGGTGGAGGGTGGAGGGTGGAGGGTGGAGGGTGGAGGGTGGAGGGTGGAGGGTGGAGGGTGGAGGGTGGAGGGTGGAGGGTGGAGGGTGGAGGGTGGAGGGTGGAGGGTGGAGGGTGGAGGGTGGAGGGTGGAGGGTGGAGGGTGGAGGGTGGTGGGTGGTGGGTGGTGGGTGGAGGGTGTGGATAGGAGAGGGGGTGTGAGTTGCGAGGGTGAGGGAAATGCAGGGGTGGGGTGGGGGGGAGTACGGAGCGAATATGTGCATGTTGATGCTCTCGTGCATGTGCTTGCATGCCGCATGTGCCACCATCACATGCACCACCCGCTGTCCCCCCATGTCCTCTCCCTGCTCCCCGCAGGTTGTGCCTGCAAGGTTGTGGCGGAACAAAATCCCTTTGATTGTTGATTGCGGGGCTCTAGGCCCAGATTGCGGGGCGCGCAGGGCAAGATCTTACTAGTGTCGAGAAAAGAGACGCACCCACCCGCCCCCTTCACCCTTCACCCTTCACCCTGCACCGGTCGCCTGTCGCGGTTGTGCCATTCTACTCCATCGTTGTGCTGTGCCACGCCCACGCTGCCTTTGACGCTACCCAAACCTCGCCTCTTCCCCCATGGCCTCTCTCTCCCCGCCCCGCCCACCTGCCCTGTGTGTGCAGCCCGTTCTACTCCATAGACGTTGTGCGCATGACTGTGGAGGGCGCCATGCCGCCTTTGACTCCACTCAACACACTCTTCTTCCCCTCTGCCCTCTCTCTCCCTGCCTCCCACCCTCTTCACCCTTCGCCCCTGCCCCTACCCCTGCCCCTGCCTCTTCCCCTGCCCCTGCCCTTGCCCCTGCCCCCTGCCACGTGCGCCGTGCGTGCAGCCCGTTCTACTTCATAGACGTGGTGCGCATGACAGTGGACGGCGCCACGCTGCCCGGCAGCGAGAACCTCGCGCCCACCAACGCCACGCAGGGCACGGGGGGGGCGGGCGTCTCTGGCGGAGCGGGGGACACGGAGAGGGGCGGGGTGATCGTGGACTCGGGCACCACGCTCACCATCCTGCCCTCCGACCTCTACGCCTCCGTACTGCAGACTGTGCGTGCGCGTGAAAGGGGGGGGGGGGGCGGGGACGTGGGGGGGGACAGGTGGGGGTTGCGGGGGAGCGGGGATGGTGGGAAGAGGGGGAGGTTGGGGGCTGCAGAGTGCAGGAGCAGGTGCGGGGGGGAAGCTTGCAAAGGGGGGGTGTGAGTCGGACGAGTGGTGGAGGGAGAGGGAAGGGAAGGTCGATGAGGGGAAAGAGGGGGTCAGACGGGTGGGCGAGCAGGCGGGCAGGCAGCACAGCACACATGGCACAGTATCACGCCATGCTGCTCTGCTAACCTCATGTCTACTGCTCACGCGCTTCAGAAATGCACCGCTCACCCCACCTCATCTCACCTCATCTCACCTCCCATTCGCGCGTACACATGCGTGCGCGCTGCAGGGTACTCACCCCCCATCCCTCACCTTGGCATCCCTGTGACCCCTCTCCCTTGCGCCCCCTCTGCTCCCTTTCCCCCTCTGGTCCGTGTGTTGTGTTCCCCCTGGTGCGTGTGTGCGTGCATGTGTGCGAGCAAGCATGCATGCGCGGCAGGTGTTTGCAGGGCAGGAGGTGTTCTTTGTGCCTGAGCTCAACCTCGACTGCATCGTCCTCGGCTTCTTGTGAGCGCACCGCCAGGGGGCACGGGGGTAACGGCGCGGATGGGGAGCAGGAGAATTACAGGGACGGGGGCAGGGGCGAGGTGTCATGAATTCGGGGGGTGGTGCGCCGTGACATGGCATGGCATGACAGTGTGGTCATGTGGTCACCTTTCGGCATCGTGCTCGCATGTAGATGTTTCGCTGTGCGTGCATGCATGGGCTAATCTCTGCATGCATGTGCGTGCATGTCCCCACTACCAGTGACGGTGCGCTACCAGCGTTCCCGGTGATTCACATGGAGATGGCGGACGGGGCCGTGTGGAGCATATCCTCCTCCAACTACCTCAGCCGCTTCGTACGCCCCACCCTCTCACGCCCCACACTCTTACGCCCCACCCTCTCACTCTCCTGCTCTTTGGCCCCCCTGCCTCTGCGCATGCATCTTCTCCTGCGCTCTCTCGTGCCATCACTCTTATTATCAACCGTTCCATCACCCTTCCACACCACATTGTTCTCCCCATCCCCCACTACTATCCACCGTTCAACTCCCCTATCGTTCGCTCTCCCATCCACGAACCCCAATGGCGCACTGCAGTGCTGCTCACCTCATCCTCCACCACTTTCCCCTTCTCAACCCCCCAACTCTCCCGTGCCCAGGACGATGGGTGCGACCTGTGCCGCTGTGCCACCCGTGCCTCCCTCCTCTCACCCACCCCTTCCCCTCCACTCCCCCTCCCCCGCACTCCCTCCCGCACCTCTGGTGTGTGTTGCGCGCGTGCGCGTGGCCCGCCAGGACGATGGGTTTGACCAGTACTACTGCGCCACCATGATGGCGGCGCCCGACAACTTCCCCGTCTCCGTCATCATTGGCGGTGCGTGCACTGCTCGCTGCAGGGGGGACGAGGGGTGTTCGTGGCGAGGCGAGTGAGGGGGAGTGTGAGGGACGTAGTTTGCGTGAGGTTGGGTGGGGAAAGTGGGTGCACGTGGAGTGTTTCGCAGTTGTACTCATGTGTGATTGTGTGGTTGTTTTATGTGTGTGTGCGTGTCTGACGTGTGCTTCTTCCGTGCGTGCGTGCATGCGTGCGGGCATCAGAGACATGGGTACTGGACACATATATCGCCATTGACATCGAGAAGAAGCAGCTCGGATGGGCGCCTCTCAACTGTAATCTCCCCTCCTGCCCTTGCCGCTCTCACCTCATCGTCCCCCTCCCTCGCCCCATCATCTCTCCCCTCCTTGCCCTGCCCCTCGTTCGTTCCTCCTGCCATTGTACTTGCAAAATATTACCTGGAGTATGCGCGGAGGCTTTGCCATCTGTTCGTTTGTGCTTACTTTGATTTCATGCCTTGTGAACCAAAGCACGAGCTCCATGCTACAACCTTGCCTACACACCTCCCCCGCCGCACACATTGCACGTCACGCCACTCAACTCCTGTGAACATCGCACATCCAACCGCCTTGCTGCTTGCCTACACTCCTTCCGACGCTGAAATCTCCCGCCCACTTCACCCTCCCTCACATATGCTCCCGCTCTTCCCCGATTCCCTCACCGCCCCCCTCCACCCCCTTCATTTCTTCCCACACCCCACCCAGGTTCATCGGGCGAGTACCTGACATTCAACTACACGCGAGACCCCTTCGCCGACATGACTTATCTGCAGCCCCCCCCACCCACGGCCACCACTGCTCCGCCCTCCTCGGACTCGTTTCTGCCTGCGTGGGCCAACCCCCTCACCTCTGCAACCCCAGCACCCCCCTCCAACGACTCCTCCAACTCCTCCGTGCCCTGTCAGTGCCCCTTGCTTCTCTTTCACTCCCTTTACCCCTTCGCCAGCCACCCTTCTCCCCCTCACGTCCTGCTGTTCTCTCTTGTTTTCTCTACCGACTTCTCTTTCCCATCTGCACCTGCTCGTAATCTCTTGCTGTCCTTTCTTGCCTCAACTGTCACCATGGCTTCTCAGCTTTTCCTCGGTACGCTTTCGTGGTGTCGTATTCACACCGAGTTGATTCTTGAGTCGACTCAAATGTCATTCTCCTGTTTGCTCGCCTGTGTTTTTGCCTTTCCTCTTGTGTCCGTTTCTTCTACTCGCTTCTTTCCAATCCACCATGGTCCTCTTATATGCAATCCTTCTTTCTTTCTTGTTCCCTTTCCTCATTTGTGAATCCTCTCTTCCCACTCTCTGCGTGCTTGATGCAGGGTCAGCATCCATATGGAAAGGTAACATCTGATACTGTCCCCTGTGTCCTTTCCCTCATTGGTTCAATTTTTTCCGTTCTCATTTTGTGTTCTGTGCTGTTTTGTTGTAGCCGCATGCGCGTGCTGTGTCACTTGTGGGGTATGTGCTCAAGGTTCATTTCAGCTCTGCGTAATACTGTACTCACATGTTCCTGCAAGGGCTTGTTACTGTCGCACAAGCCAGTTTCGTGCCTTACGTCCATCCAACCATTTCTGTTGTGCCCGTGCGCAGGCTCTCACAGTTGCTGTGTCGTCGTGCCACTCTTCCGTGCCGGCTGTGCAGTTTCTGCCTTGCTGCTGCTGCTGCTTTTATAATAGCTTGTTTAAAGCCGGCAGCTAAAATAGTGAAGGCAGATCCAACTTGAAAAGTGTTGCGACAACTCTCTCGGAGAGGAGAAGTTTGGGCCGATAGAGCATTGTTTTCGACAATTCCTTCGGTTGGATCGAACTGATGTGATTGGTTTACGCGTGAAATGAAATATTTTGATTCTCGCCAAACGAGCTTTCTGGCTCATGTCAGCCGTCGCACATTTACGTGCTGAACCTGTCGCATGTGTAGGGCTACACCCGCACGACCGTCGCAAAGCGAGTGTCACAGTCGCCAGGCCCACCCCCAACTTCAAGCTGGAACTGGGTTCTATCAACAGGACTAGGCAAGAATGATGCATTGAAAGAACAGTTGGGTACAAGTAGCTAACCCTAGTTGGGTTTGTACCCTGTATTGGCTACCCCACTACAGCCTACCCACATATAAATAACACATTACAACTTAACACACCCCCATAGGCAAAGTGGGGGAGAGCAAAGGGTCACAAGACCAGTCCAGCAAAGCAAAACAAGCCCAGGGTGGATCACAACGTCACCACACTCCGAGCACAAGCAAAGGCCACAAGGCCAGTTCACATGCAGTGCTAGATATAGAACAGGACAAACAGCAAGACATATATAAAGTACAGTACAAAGAAAGTCAAGCAGTAAGCAAATGAGGAAACGTGGACACAAGGCCTAAAGAAGTACAGTGCCGCTGATGATCACTAGGCGGGAGCGCCTTGGTGAAGATATCAGCAGTGTTGGCCTTCGAGTCCACGTACACAAGCCGAAGCTGACCGCGCTGCTGAAGCTCTCGAGCAAGAAAGTAGCGAAGAGCAATGTGCTTCGTCCTGTGCTCCAGTCTGTGCTCCTGACACAAGGCAAGGGCCGCCTTGTTGTCACCGTACAGAACTGGAGGAGAACTAGGCCGCTCTCCCAAGTCAGTCAGCAGGTAGGTGAGCCAGCGTAACTCCTGTGCAGCCATGGCCGTGGCGTAGATCTCAGCCTCACAACTAGAGCCGAGAACAGAAGAAGAGCGGGTGGACCGCCACGAGACAGAACCAGAGCCAAGGCTGAAGGTGTAACCCTGTGACGACCGCTGCGTAGCCAGGTCGTCCACCCAAGAAGCGTCCGAGTGACCAGTGAGGACAACTCTGTCGCGTCCTCCAAGCACCAGCCCCATGCCTGATGTACTGCACAAGTAACGCAGCACCCTCTTAGCAGCCTCCCAGTGCTCTCGCCTGTGTCTCCCAGGCGCAACGTAACGAGCAAGGATGCTAAGAGGGTACGCGAGGTCAGGTCGCGTGCAAGTCATCAGGTACATGAGGCAGCCTACAAGCTCTGGGTACGGGCCACTCGGCTCTACGGACTCGTCCGAAGGTGGAGCTGAGAGTGAGTGGCTGGTAGCCAGAGGTGTGGCCTGTGGTGAGGAGAACTGGAAGCCGAAGCGCTGAAGGACCTGCTGCACCATGTGTGACTGAGTCAGGGTGATGGTGCGGCGAGCTCTGTCCCGGGTGATCTGCAAGCCAAGGTAGCTACGCAGTTCACCCAGGTCAGTGCAGGTGTGTCTCTTCTGCAGCTCCGACTTCACACGAGCGAGTGCCTCAGTGTCAGTAGTAGCAAAGACCAAGTCGTCGACGTACACGAGAATGTAGAACGGCGGTAGCGACGTGTCTGTGCGTAGAAACAGCGACGGGTCAGCAGTAGACGGCGCGAACCCAAGAGCTGCAAGTGTAGTCCTCATTGTGTCGTGCCACTCACGTGGCGCCTGGCGGAGACCGTAGACTGGCCGGTGGAGGCTCCACTGGGTACCAGGAGGAAACGACCCAGTGAAGCCAGGTGGGCGGCGCAGCCAGATCTCCTCGTGCAGGCTGCCCTGCAGGAACGCTGTGCTGAAGTCAAGAGAGTGAAGCTCGTAGTCACGCTGAGCAGCAACGTGTAGCAGAACCCGAAGAGTGGTCATCTTCGGGGTGGGGGAGAAGGTCTGGAAGAAGTCAACCCCCTGACGCTGACTGAAGCCTCTAGCAACGTAACGAGCCTTGAAGACAAGCGGAGAACCTGGCGGCCGCTTCACCCTGAAAATCCACATGCCATCGACGATGTTCGCCCCAGGAGGGGGAACCTCGTCGACGTAGGTGCCTGTGGACTTCCAGGATGCCATCTCTGCGTCCATGGCTGTCTGCCACTGAGAGGAGTAGGGACCCGAGATCGCCTCTGCGTAAGAGCGCGGAGTGGGGATGTCTAGTGCATCCGGGTCTCCCTCAGGGGCAAGCAACCAGGCCACGAGATGAGGTACAGCAGCCGCAAGAGAGTCAAAGTCCTCCTGCCTGTCCTCAAGGACGTCCGTGCCAAGAGGATACTTACCCCTGACGGACGGAGGACAGACAGACTCAGACTCAGTAACAAGACTGGCGGCGTAGTCTAGACGACAGGCAGCAGCAAAGTCGACAAGCTCAGCGACCAGGGCAGACGCAGCAGCAGACTCAAACAACGGGTCAGTGACAACAGTGGCGAGAAGACGCGTAACAGTAGGGTGGGCAGCACGAACACTGTCAGACTCAGGGTCGGGAACGTCAGGAAGAGAAGACGCAGGAGGAGACGGTAGGGGGACACGCTGTGGACCAGTGGAAGGACGAAGTGCCATAATGTGCGTGCCAGGAACAGGAGGAGGACGCGGACGCGCGACACGACGGCCAGTGGGACCAGTGCGAGCAGTGCGAACAGGCGAGGCAGGACGAGACGCAGGCTCACGACGCTCCGTAAGCGAGTCCGGCTGTGCAGTGTAAGGCACAGGAGCAGGGAGGGGGGAGCCAGGCTGGAGGGGAAGGCCAGTGGAAGACGGGAGGGAAAGAACCTGGCGAAGCACCGTGTCAGGCGGCGGCAAAGCCGACGGCGATGGAGGAGCGAAGAACAGGCGCGACGGCGGAGCTCCGCCAGCACCTCCAGCACCCGCAGCACCAGAAGCACCAGGACCAGCACCCTCCGCCGCAGCACCCCCCGAGTCGGCGACGTCAGCACCAGAGGCCCCAGCAGCGTCAGACCTCCCCTCGCCAGCACCTCCAGAACCAGCAGGACCACCGTGTCCAGAACCGTCAGCTCCAGTGTCGTCAGCTCCAGCAGCTCCAGTACCGCCAGGAAGAGCACCCCCAGAGCCGGCAGCTCCAACTCCGCTAGCACCGCCAGCTCCAGAGTCCCCAGCTCCAGCAGCTCCAGTCTCAGTGCTCCCAGAACAACCAGTCCCGGCAGCTCCAGTACCCCCAGTACGAGCACCTCCAGGACGAGCAGCTCCAGCACCCCCAACTCCAGCAGAGCCACGAGGACGGCGAAAGCGCCGGACGTACCAGTCACGAAGCTGCTGCGGTGTGAGAGACTGCTCAGCACCCCGAACCGGAGCACCCCCAGACGCAGCAACCCCAGGCTCCGTAGGCTCAGTAGCAGCACCCCCAGGCTCAGTACCCTCAGGCGCAGCACCCCCAGGCTCAGCACCCCCAGTCGCAGCACCCCCAGGCTCAGCACCCCCAGTCGCAGCACCCCCAGGCTCAGCACCCCCAGGCGCCGAACTCTCAGGCACAGTACCCTCAGCTCCAGCACCCGCAGTCCCAGCACCCGCAGCCCCAGCACTCCCAGGCCCAGCACCCGCAGGCTCAGCACTCCCAGCAGCACCACCTGCAGCAGCACCTGAGTCACCTGTGACCTCGACAGGCTCAGCGACGGGAGGAGGGTCTACCTGAGAGACACCGGAAGGAGCAGGACCCTGAGGGGGAAGGGGGTCTACCGGAGGGGGACCAGGAGCGAGGAAAAGCGGCGGGGGAGGGAGAGGGGCAGTGCGGTAGGGGAAGAGACGGTAAAAAGGGACCGACTCGTCAAAGGTGACGTCCTGAGAGGCGAAGACCCGGCGCGAGGTGGGGTGGTAAAACTGCCAGCCAGGCGCGTCAGGGACAAAGCCAAGGAAGACACAGGGAAGCGTGCGGGAGGAGAGCTTGTCCGCGGACGTATCGCGGACAAGGGCACGAGCACCCCACACCCGGAAGCGCGACGCATCGCCAACCTCCCCCGTCCAACGCAGTGTGGGCGAGGTCTCCGGCAAGGAGACACGGGGCCAGAGGTTGAGCTGATGCGCGGCGTACCGGACCGCAAACGGCCACAGAAAATGGGGAGCCGCCGCGTGGACCAAGGAGGTACGAGCGACCTCCATGACCAGGCCAATGCGGCGCTCAGCAACCCCATTCTGCTGTGGGGAGTCCGGAAGCGTGAAGGTCTGCTCGATGCCCTCCGCCTGACAGAAGGTCCTCAAGAGGTCGGAGGAAAACTCACCACCTCTGTCAGAGTGCAGACGTAGGACAGGAAGATCCGTCCGGAAACGGCGGCGGAGCTGGAGACGAACTGTGCGGATCCAAGGGATCAGAACAGCAGGGACCTCACCCTTGGTGCGCAAGGGGAAGACCGTGGTGTAACGCGAGTAGTCGTCGACGACCAGCAAAAAGTACCGCTCACCGCCCTGACCACGAACGCGGGCTGGGCCCCACACGTCCAGGTGGAGGGTCTGCAGAGGAGCCTCTGTCGGGGGGAACGAGGAGGAGTGAGGAGCGGCGCGCTGCCGCCCCTCGACGCAAGGAAGGCAAGGCGGCGCAGGCGAGGCAGGGAGGGGAGGGAGGGACCTGGGAAGACCAGACACAAGGAGGCGACGGTGCATGCCACGGAGGCGTGGCAAGGAGGGGTGACCCAGGCGGTGGTGCCAGAGAAGAGTCTGGTGCGACAGGGAACGACACTCACAGGCGTGGGCTACCAGACCTGACGCGGACACCTGACCGACAGCAGCGACCTG